TTGTTGAATAAACTAGGAGTCACCGGTCGAGATTCGAACCCTTGCCAAGACTACAATATTAAAAAACAGTTTCATACTTATACCTACACACATTCAACCTATTTTAACAATTAAATATATTAAAATTATCATAGTATAGGCTGAATCACGACCATCTATTACCAAAATCCGATACAAGAACAGCGATAACAGAGGAACGAGTCCAAAGACCAGCATAAAGGAAGAACTTATGCCGAACTCTGACGAAAATAAAGTGGCGAAAACGAGAATAACAACGGTTGAGTAATCAGTCATCTTTTAAGCATACATTAGCATCTATCAATTGATCAGTAATCAACCAATCATTATCAATTTATCATTTATCAATCAATTAGTTACCAATTGCTCGGTCATCAATTAATCAAACATCAGTTGATCAGTCATAAATTAATCAGTTATCAATTAATAATTTATTAAATAATCATCTATCAATTAATCATTTGTCAATAATTCATATATCAATTAATCATTTGTCGATAATTAATATATCAATTAATCATTTATTAATCATAATTCTAGGAAATGGGCAACTAATTGGGGATGAGCATATTAGAAATGATGTTGAGTGTCAATTAGTTATGAGGAACTTGGTGCAGCAATGTTCACGGCTCTTCAAGAAGCAGCTTCTGACAAACGGCACAGGGCAAGAAGTAATCATGAGCCCAAAAATTAACGTTACGGCTTCCAGAAGCCGAAAGGGTATAGTGACTTACGGCTTCTAAAAATAAGCACATTCTCTTCTGGGCCCAGGGGCCATACTTTCAAAATTCGCTAAGTGAACGTAAGTACTTACGCTCTATTTTCTTGTCTATGATTGGTGGATTTTTCTTGAAAGGCCGTCAATGATTGGCTGATGAACTTACGATCTCTTAACTTTTTTTGAAAGTATAGGCCCAGGTGAGGAGTCGTCTAGTAGGTGTTGGTGTGCCTGTGAAGTTCCATCATCCATAAAGAGCAATTACGATAATCCAAGGCGCAGATGGACACAAGGAGTGGCAACGGGAACAACACAGGTGGGAGTAGCAAGGATGGTGACTGAAGATAAATGATCTGTATGTTGGCGGCCAGCGTTGCTTGACTGGAGGGAAAGCCTCAAAAACCGTTAGAGTAAAGTCGTCGCTACCTGTCTAGCCGCTGATGACTGCGTTAAATTTGAAATGTGATTAGGTGGGGATGATTATAGCTCGTGGATTATAGCGAAACGGATTTTAACTCTTCCAATTAGTTGCCAGTAAAAAAATGAAAAATGATTTACTCGAATTTAGCCTTTCGTGTCTAGTTTTCTTCTTGAAGCTCATGTACTTTAATAAAACTAAATAGACCAAAATAACCTAATGCTTACATAATACAATAGCCCAGGTATTGGAATCATAAAAATATTTATTCCATATAATTATTTTTTTCTCTAAAATTTTCTATAAATTACCGGACATGAATTTAAATGCACTCACAACATTAAATAACTCCTATAACAAAAGTGTTAAATACCTCTTAGTCCTATATTCCATTCAAATATTACTACTGTTAAGTTAGATTGCAAATAATTTTTTCTCAATAAAACGGATTAAAAATACGAACTCTAATCATTTTTTGGTAAGGTTAAACTTTTAGCTTCATCCAAAGTCTACGAATAATTATGTTATCATATGACTATTACAGTCCTATAGCGTTAATTTTTATAAGTTTTTTTATTCATGTTACCATAGACATTTTATATTTGACTAAATCTCGGCAATGTTCGTCGCCGAGGAGTTCAGGTTCGTGATAGAATAGAATTTGCCCCTATTGAGATTGAGTGCATTGATTTCTCTTTGATCTTATGGATTTTAATAAACTTTTTTAAACGTAATGGCCTCGTGTTGCAGAGACACACTTAATATAAACTAATATTTCAAATAAAATTTTGCTTCCTACTTCACGAACAATTACATTGCAGTTCATTGGACAATTTTGTTGAAGTGCTCGTCGATCAGTTTTACAAGAGAATTTGACTGCAGTTAGTTCTACAGTAATACAGTAAGTTCTGGAACGCTAATAATTATAACTTTATATCACGATGGTAATTATACGAGATTAGAGAGGGCTTAGCGGTCAGCTCGGTCAGATTGGAGACTTTATATGCAGCATTTATATGTGAACTTTATCAAGGTCGGACAAAATGCGTGACGTTAATTCTGATTTAACTTTATCATTTCACTAATTTCGATGATGGAAGCCTGCAGCACGTGTAAGCATGCAGCACGTGTAAGCATGCAGCACGTGTAAGCATGCAGCACGTGTAAGCATGCAGCACGTGTAAGCATGCAGCACGTTTAAGCATGCAGCACGTGTAAGCATGCAGCGCGTTTAAGCATGCAGCACGTGTAAGCATGCAGCTCGTTTAAGCATGCAGCGCGTTTAAGCATGCAGCACGTGTAAGCATGCAGCACGTGTAGGTATCGATAATATATAATATGATGAAGTTCAAGTACGTTAAAGAAAGAAATGGGCACTGAAGAATTCAACTTCAAATCATTTCTCCTTTGATGTTTTAAAATGCTGTATAATGAATTTAAGAGACCCACTAACTCACATTTCTGAGCTAAACGAATATTGATTTAGTGACATTACAATCATAACCATCAATCGGGACTTCGCGTCGAACAATAATCCATCCATCAAACTTTGGATCTGGTTATTGGAAAACTTTCTTGAAGGGAATTTAGCAAATATTGTAGATTTTAGTGTTGCACTGTTGATGAAACGAACTGAATTGCAATTGGTTTCGTACGATCCCAAAGGCCACAAAATTATACTATTTTCTTCATACGAGGGTGCTTCAAAAAGTTTATGGAAAATGTACATACTGAAATTTCTATGAAAATAATACGAAGCCAATGCACCAGAAGGATCCTGTTTCGATGTTATATATGTTGATTTACTCGAGATCAAGTAAAATATTACGGCTTTTTATTATGATTGCGTAAATATTTTGATACAATTTTCCAAGAAAATCTCTGAAAAATGTCTTAGGAAGCAGCATCGGCGCGCAATCTTCCATCACGATAATGCACTGGCGCATGGCGCTTGGCAGACAAGAGTTTGCTACGTGAATTTCGATCCGAAATCATTCAGCTTTCACTTTATAGGACCGAAATAGCTCCTCCAACTTTTTTTCATCTTCAAACCTGGCAAAATGATGCAAAGGTACCCTGTTATTCTCAATTGAAGCAAAAAAAGAGCTCCCAAAACATGGTTCAAATCGCGGGCTTCTAAATTTCACACGGATGGACTTTATGGCCGGTATATCAGCGTTCATAGAAATGTATTTACCTAGATAAAGCATATTTATGTAAAAAAAACTTATGATTTTGATCCTATTTTTATAGCACTTCTCTTTAACTTCACTTCTTGTCTGTCTGTCTGTCTGTCTGTCTGTCTGTCTGCTACAAATCTTATAATCGAAATTTAACACACTTCTACTTATCCTATTGATCTGAAATTTTGCACACTTGCGTACAGTTGAAAAAGCAAGAATCAAATTACAAAATAAATGATTTTAAAAAGTAAAAAAAATGTTCAATATAAAAAAATGTGAAAAAATAATTTTGTCAGCTACAAATCTTATGAGTGATATATGACACACTTTAACTTGTCCAATTGATCTGAAATTTTGCACACTTGTGTGAAATCGAAGGCAATGCATGAATCAATTGACAGAATAAATAATTTTGAAAAAAATTTATATATTAAAAAAATTGAAAAATTACTTTTTTAATATTCGAAAATAAAATGAGAAATTCATTTTACATCTTTAACATTGGAGACACTGGATTCTTTAGAAGTGTTGTCTTTAAAAAGTAATTATTGAACGTATATTATTTGAACTGTTATTTCCCACGAACTTCTAGAAACCCCATCGTACAATTTTTAGAAACCCCCTCGTGCCCCCTCGTACGTAAACCCCAATTTTTGCTCGTGCAAAAATTTGCTTAGTAGTTATCACAGTCAAATACAGGTCAATGGGTTAGAGCAAGTCAAATGATTGAAAGTTCTAATCAACTGTAATTAGTGACGTCGATACGCAAATTGTGACATATGAATCCACGGAAGAAAAACGAAAACTTTGACGACACGTGCAATGAAATTACAATTTGTGATTCAATTCACCGCAGCGCAGCAATGCGGCAAAACTTTTGAAAGTTGTTAAAGGCCTTGACGCTAACGTTTGATGATCAGTTGGACTTGGCAGCCAGTGTCAGGAGGTGACCCAACCAGCGGGACAAAATTACAAATTTTTTTTTTTAGCGTAGTTAAAAATATCTTGCAAAGAATTTGTTTCACTGTCGGAAGCATTCCCATGCAAAGCTGAGAAAATAAAAAAAAATCTTTTGCAACTTAGACAAATTTGACCGAGACTTGAACATTAGAATTCCTAATAGTTGATTTATTTACAGTATATAAGCTTGGACCTGACTCTTGTCTTTTTTTATAACTGACCTGCTGACTCAGTTCAATAGCTGAGAGCTGCTGGCTCCTGTTGCGTAAGAGAAACATGACTGCTGAGTCATGTTCTGTAAGTGAAGCCGGGCTGCTAAGGCATGTTTTGCAAGTGAAACGGGGCTGCAGATTCATGTTCTATAGATGCAACATGGCTGCTAAGTCCAGGTTATATTTTTAGATCTGGCCTGCAAACTTCTTTCTCTAGGAGGAATGAACTCATTTCAATTGTAGAGACTACCAGTAAGATCGGAAAAATATATTTGTTTCTATATCAAAAAACTGAATCCATATTTCATTCTGCACGAGAATTTGCGCAAATCTTCAGGATGAGATTCAGTAAGGTGTATATCTCAATCCCAGATATCAAATATTTTGTCCATCATCAATAAGAAGGTAACATTAAATTTTTAATTCTTTTATTGTATATTTTAGAGATTTTTACAATTGGACTTCTCAGTGTAAAAAGTGGTACGGTAATGATGGCTTGTCCATGGATTGTAGGAGGGCTTTTCTTGGCGCTGTATCTCACGCACGCGGCAGTACTCGGCGACCAATCAACCTTTGCGGCCATGAAAACGGGTGAGTGGCGATATTTTGGATTCAGATTAGGTTAAGCTGCAGATTATATTAATAAATTTTTTACCAGATGCCTTAATTGAATTATGCATCATTTGGTGACAGATCATGGCCATTGACAAAAGAATTAAGCGTATTGAGCAGTATAATTTCGTTCATAAAATAACCTTGCTATCCTTAGTAAGACGTACGAGGCCGTCTGAGACCCAGGGCGCCTCTAGTCCCAACGGGCAGGTCGACCTTGTCGCCTAACAGGAACTTGTATTGTGTTATTTCCAGATAGTTTTAATGCGTCATTTGTCGACTAAGGATTTGAGATGTCAACTGGAAAACTTGATAGATGGATGTTTTATACGGTCGAATAATATGAAAACGAAGTTTAACTATTCTTTAGCAAAAATGTTAAATGAGGAAATTTAGTTATTAGATAATATTAGATTCAAAGCCTATTATTACAACACTTCTCTTTAACTTCACTTCTTGTCTGTCTGTCTGTCTGTCTGCTACAAACCTTGTAATAGAAATTTAATACACTTCTACTTATCCTATCGATCTGAAATTTTGCATACTTGTGTATAGTTGGAGACAATGCATGAATCAAATGTCACAATAAATGATTTTGAATATTAAAAAAATTAAATTTTTCAGTATGAAAAAAATTGAAAAAATAATTTTGTCAGCTACAAATCTTATAACTGATATTTGACACATTTTTACCTGTCTAATTGATCTGAAAATTTGCACACTTGTGTGAAGTCAGAGGCAATGCATGAATCAAGTAACGCAATAAATAATTTTGAAAAAATTATATATTAAAAAAATTGAAGTGTTGTCTTTAAAAAGTAATTTTTAAACTTATATTATTTTTACAACAGTTCTCTTTAACTACTACACTTCTTGTTTGTCTGTCTGCTACAAATCTTATAAGCGAAATTTAACACACTTCTACTTATCCTATCGATCTTAAATTTTGCACACTTGTGTAAAGTTGAAGACAATGCAAGAATCAAATGACAAAATAAATGATTTTTAAAATATGCATATTTTTTCAATATAAAAAAATTAAAAAAATAATTTTTCAGCTACAAATCTTATAACTGGTATTTGACACATTTTTACCTGTCCAATTGATCTGAAATTTTGCACACTTGTGTGAAGTCGGAGGCAATGCATGAATCAATTGACAGAATAAATAATTTTGAAATAAATGTATGTATTAAAAAAATTGAAATTAATTTTTTTAATATTCGAAAATAAAATGAGAAATTCATTGTACATCTTTAACATTGGATACACTAGATTCTTTAGAATTTTTATCTTTAAAAAGTATTTTTAAACGTATATTATTACCACACTTCTCTTTAACTTTACTTCTCGTTGTTTGTCTGTCTGCTACAAATCTTATAATCGATATTTAACACACTTCTACCTGTCCAATCGGTCTGAAATTTTTCACCCTTGCGTAAAGTTGGAGACACTGCATGAATCAATTGACAAATAAATAATAATTTAAAAAATTGACAAAAATTTAATATTTAGAAATAAAATAATAAATTCATTATCCATGTGCAACCTCCGACACACTGACTTCTTTGAAAATGTGGTCTTTAAAAATTACTTTTTAAACGCATATTATTAATCATGAGAGTTAATCGCAAAGGGAACAGAACTGATAGATTTTCAGATTGAATATTATAATAATATACGTTTAAAAATTACTTTTTAAAGACAAACACTTCTAAAGAATCTAGTGTATCCAATGTTAAAGATGTACCTACAATGAATTTCTCATTTTATTTTCGAATATTAAAAAAATTAAGTTTCAATATTTTTAATACATGAATTTATTTCAAAATTATTTATTCTGTCAATTGATTCATGCATTGCCTCCGACTTCACACAAGTGTGCAAAATTTCAGATCAATTGGACAGGTAAAAATGTGTCAAATATCAGTTATGAGACTTGTAGCTGGAAAAATAATTTTTTTAATTTTTTTATATTGAAAAAAAATTATATATTTATTTTGAAAATAATTTATTTTGTCATTTGATTCTTGCATTAACTTCAACTTTACGCAAGAGTGCAAAATTTCAGATCGATAGGATAGGTAGAAGTGTGTTAAATTCTGATTATAAAATTTGTAGCAGAGAAGTGTAACAAACACTTCTCTCTGACAAACAAGAAGTGTAGTTAAAGAGAAGTGTTGTAAAAATAATAAACGTTTAAAAATTACTTTTTAAAGACAACACTTCCAAAGAACCCAGTGTCTTCAATCTTACAGATGTACAATGAATTTCTCATTTAACTTTCAAATTGAAAAAATTAATTTTTCAAATTTTTTAATATATAATTTTTTTTTCAAAATCATTTATCCTGTCAATTGATTCATGCATTGCCTCTGACTTCACACAAGTGTGCAAAATTTCAGATCAATTAGACAGGAAAAAGTGTGTCAAATATCAGTTATGAGATTTGCAGCTGACAAAATTATTTTCTAAATTTTTTTTCATATTGAAATTTTTTTTTTTAATTTTAAAATCATTTATTTTGACATTCGATTCATGCATTGTCTCCAACACACAAGTGTGCAAAATTTCAGATCGATAGGATAAGTAGAAGTGTGTTAAATTTCGATTACAAGATTTGTAGCAGACAGACAAACAGACAAGAAGTGAAGTTAAGGAGAAGTGTTGTAATAACATAACATAACATAGTGATGTCGGCTCTGAAGTGTAGGCCTGATGTGGCCTGTCGCCGATTCTTTTCCATTTCGTGCCTTGTTCATAGATCTAAACTCGTGTCATTTGACCGGATCTTTTCATGACTGGCGATAGTTTGAAGAAGCTACTAGACTTCCACCGGGTTCGATAAGGAGCTAGGCTCAGCTACAAATCTTATAACTGATATTTGACACACTTTTACCTGTCTAATTGATCTGAAATTTTGCACACTTGTGTGAAATCAGAGGCAATGCACGTATCAATTAACAGAATAAATAATTTTGAAAAAATTTATATATTAAAAAATTTATATATATTTAAAAAATTTAAAAGGTAATTTTTTAATTTTCGAAAATTAGATGAGAAATTCATTATAAATCTGTAAGATTGGAGATACTGGAATCTTTGGGAGTTTTGTCTTTAAAAAGTAGTTTTTAAATGTATATTATTTTTAATATTAATATATGAAAAAAATAAATTTTTACAATTATTTATTCTGTCAATTGATTCATGCCTTGTCTTCAACTTTGCACAAGTGTGCAAAATTTCTGATTGATTGGACCGGTAGAAGTGTGTTGAATAACGATTATAAGATTTGTAGAAGAAAAAATTATTTTTTCGAATTACAAAAAAATTTTGTATTAATTTTAAAATTATATATTCTGCTAATTGATTCATGCATTGTCTTCAACTTTACGCAAGTGTGCCAAATTTTAGATCAATTGGACAGGTAGAAATGTGTTAAATATTAATTATAAGATTTGTAGCAGACAGGCAAACAAACAAACAGACAAGAAGTGAAGTTAAAGAGAAGTGTTGTAAAAAGTAGTACCGTATTTTAAAATTAGGAAGGAAATGTCTGAATTAGAACTGATGAGTTTCGACACTATCAGAAGCAAAATCACTAACAACCACGGGGGTTTGGCTTAACTTAGCCCAACCGTTCTGGTCTAAATAAAGATATGATGATTGTCTTACCGTTTATAGGGTGCTTAATATCGTTGCTTAGCGCCAATATCTTTGCCGCTGCTTTGGTTTGCTTTGAAAATATTAGTTCAAGTGAAGAAAAGATTTCTCTTTAAAACAGACTTTCTTTTGTTTCAATACGTAAGCAATGTTTGTATTCATAGGTAATTAAAGTCAAATTGCAATAATATTGTAGGGAGAGACCAGCGCTACTCGGGGTCTATACTGCAGAGCACGGCGGTCTTCGGCCGGTCTGCGTGCCTGAGCCTGTGCGGCAACAACCCGCGCTGCCTCGGCTTCAGCTACGCAGGTGACGTATATTGGTCTGCCTCGGCTTCAGCTACGCAGGTAACATGCAGTCTGTTTCAAATAATTTTCTAATCACTAAGCAAATCACAATTGATCACAAGTTACCAAATTATTCTAATCACGCAAATAATGAGAACAATGTCGAGGAAAAATTTCTGATTCAGATTGTAAGAGTTTGTTGTCACTTCAAAGGAACCATACGCCTTTCGGCTTCGTCCAGGTTTTATTTGTATTTTTCTTGCTAATGCTATACAATGCTATACAATTGCTATACAAACAAATGCTATACAATTTGTCTTGGGAGTGGGGGTGGGTGATCGCGTGCGTACAAGCTGCCAAGCGGGCCACCCCGTGTTTAATTATTGTGTGGGAGCTAGCTATGTTATTGTCGATTCTGGATGCTGTTCTGTCTGCGAAGTAGCCTGCTTGTGTTTTTGTTGCGGACGGATGATATGAGTTTACGTATTGGAGTTGATTTGTTGTAGTTGCCTCTGTGTGAGTCAGTTTCATTCAGTTTTGGGTCACTTGTTTGTTATTAAGGGGCAAAGTTTGCTTTATGGAAGGATCTGATATAGGACGTATAAGTATTTGCGTTTGGAGTTTGCAATTACAGGAATTTCGCTAATAAGGCCAATGGCGCACATGGAGTTGTAATACTTTTAGTGAAAATCTGGGGAACATTGTGATGGGAGATATTTGAATTATTACTTTTCTTTTTGTTGGATGTTATTTGAAGTTGTTTGTATCCCATGTTCATGAAAAGTTCGCAAAGAACGATGTTCATTGATGTCTTGTGGAGTTCAAATCAGAATTAGTCAAATATTCTGGGAAAGTTTACATCCTTCACAGAAAGGTTCAGTCCGTAGTCGTGCATTCTCGGTTTGTCGATGTACCGAATTAACGAGAGGCGAGAGAGATTTGGCTGGCGCACTTTAGAAGCTCCCCAATGGTTTGGTGGGGACTGGTTCGTTGAATCCGGATGCAAATACAATTATTCTTTATATTGTTGGTCGGTGCTTTTTTTCTTGGGTCACAGTCAGCAAACTGAGTTTAAGCTGCGGAGGGTGGAGAGTTATTCTTGATGTTTCTGGCGGCGGTCTTTAATTTAGTTACTTATGAGGTTGAAGTCATCTTTTTTGTGTCGGCTTTGTTATCTTCGTGATTGAAGGAAAAATAGAAAATTTTACGTGAGTCACAGTCAATTGAAGGCGGCGTCGAAATCGTTATTGTCTTTCAGCGAGTTGAAGCCGTTGATGTCGCGCTAGGCCGTTTGAAATATTGAGTCTTTGTTAGTAAGGCTATTTGAAATAAGACGTATGTGTTAAAAGGTGGTAAAAGGTAAAAAAGGTGTTAAAGGTAAAAGGTAAGAGGTAATCAAGGCGGTGCAGGATATATAGTGTTGTTGCCTCTACCTCTGTGAAAGGTCCGCGCTAGACGCTAGCAAGACTCAACTTCGCGGCCCTTTAATTCAAATATTCAAGCTCATGTCATGGTATCTATTTAATGCCACTCTGATTATATATCTCTTACATGATCCACCTGAGAACAAAGATTCGACGACTAACGTGAGAGACAAGCAAACGCATTCATCTCCAGACATGGTAATGGTAGGCAACGAAGTCATTACAGCGGTGCAGAAAAACGTCTACTCCTTCGGCGGTCGAGCCGACGCAATACTACTACAGTGAGTGCTACATACCTGCGATCGTGCCAGCTGACGACGTGGGGTGTCCTACTAAAGTGTCCATTCCTTTTATAAGCACGGTGCCTCCACCCCGGGTCTCGAGTCGCGACCACCCCGGTTTTCGCAGAGCCGTCTCGGTCACTTGACAATTTTGATGCTTAATCAGTATCCCACATTCAACCAACCTCCTCTGCGTTCACGGTCTCAATTAGATCCTCTCCAATATCAGTAAAAGAACGAGCCTAACCATCGAGCACGCTAGAGGGCATTAACGCCTATGAATTTAAGTGTTCAAACCAATAGCATCGTTAGGCCACAGCCACTGCTCGAGTCAATCTCGTTGTCATGGACGTGTAAGCATAACACGACTCCCCACAAACAAACTTATAACCTAACTTCATTCTCTATAGCAACTTAGCAAGGTGGATAGTCGGAGTGTGGAGGGAGGGTCATGCATGGGTATTCATGGAGTCATGGAGACAAGACTAGCTTGCGCAGTGGAAGGGGCTTGCGGTGTTTCTAGCACGGATTGCTGCTTTGCAGCTCTGGCAGATTGTAGCTGTGCAGTGTGCATGCTTAGGTTAAGCGTTGAATCCAGAGCTAGTTTTAAGATTTGAGTTCTTGGTATGCCGTATGCGGCTGCGCCACTCCAACCATTGAGTCCGGTAAAAGAGAGAAAACAAGGTATTAGATGGAAATGCAGTTGGATTTACATTAGAGTTGTAATAAACTGAGGCATATAATAAATCAAGCCACTAGTTCCCATCGACATGCAGGGAAAGTTGGGTTATGATAAATCCTGCAAGCTTGGGAAAAAGAGCAATATGCTCGAACTTCAAGAACAGAACTTTTCATATCGCATGTCACGAAAGCCCATGGAGTTGGAGATTACGCACTAATCCTTAAAATAACTGTTAATTGCGCTGTACGATAATAATTAAAGTTATAGCATCCAAAACCTTGATTCTAATTTGCAGGAAGTTCGTGCCAGCTGATGAGCTGCGTGACGGGCCTGGTGGCGGCGGCAGGTTGGATCTCCTACGAAATGACTTTACTTCTTCGCCATTACACGGTGAGAAGAATGTCTCCTCAGACTTCATTCTCTATAATTTTGCTAGCTTAAATTACAACAGGCATCCATAATCGCAACGTCAGTAGCTGACCGAAGAAAATATTTTTTTAGATTACGTCTGTTTAGTATTGATTACTAGTATATACTACCAGTGTTGACCAACATCGTTCTTATCAGGTATTGACTATCAAAAATTTATTCCTCTCTGGAAACTATGTTGCTCTGAAAAAAAACACAATGAAATAAGTAGGAGATAGGCTGACAGGTAAAATAGTATGATCTGTCGATTTGTTGCTTCTTGGCCATTATTATAACTTACCTAGACGTCAACTCCTTACTTGTATTAATCATGCGTCTCGAAAAGCAGCGTCTCTGTTTAAAAAAAAATTTTCACATCCAAAGCACGATACACAGAAGATCCTAAAACTGCGAAGTACGCCATGCTCATTCTCAAATTGTCCAGCAATACCGTGTAAAGGAACCTGAGAGTCTTTATTAGTTATTAACTAGCCGTACCTGGTTGATGCCAGGGAGCTGTCATATCACGTAACGCTCTTGTCACTACCAGGTTGTATTACTTTGCGAGGAGTATGATTGTTTTGCTGCAGCTATGCTCAAGTGCTCAATTGATGTAAATATTGTTCGTCCAAAGCCCCAAGGTGCCTGTGTGACCTGCCCCTGCCCCGTAGTAAAAGAGTGCGTGAGCTACTCAACCCTCGAACCCATGCCGTTCGCCTCCAAATACCAGGCCACCTACGCCGCTCTGCCAGGCTACGTCTGCTCCGCGGCTCAGCCCTTCATTGACCAGCGCCTACAGGATAAAAGTATGTCCAGGGAGAATGGCTTCGTTAGTAGGATTTATTACTAGAATTGTATGTTAATTTTAAAATTCTATTAGTGTTAGTTGAATTTAACTTAATTTTTAGTGTCGATGCAATTATATAATTTAGCGATAGTAAAGTGAAACGCGAGAAAGAAAAATTATCAAGCCCTCATCGGCGAATACTCAACCATTTGCAACATAGTGGTCAGTCTTAGATACGTTTTCGTATCGTGAACTGGAATTTTTTCTTAAACAATCTGATGAATCCTCAATCGTAAGCTTTTTGGGAAACGGTTACCGATCTCAAATAAACGCCTACTGCACTCGCCATCAATCAATGGCCGACTCTAAGTAGAAGCAGTTTAATCTCAACTGACTTCGACCATCGTACACCTACACACTTCGACCAACGTTTATACATCTCAAGCGACACTTACCCACCTCGGGTGAAACTTACACAACGCAAAAGACACCCACAAACCGCAGGCGACACCTACACATTGGGCGACTCCTGCCTTATGTTCCTAGGTCAAATTTTGTCCATATTCGTCCATAGCCACTCTCATGCGTCTCCTTCGTTGTCCGCCGTCCTCAAGTCATCGCTAGGCAGGTCGCTCCTCGATCGGGGCTCTGAGGGTTGCATTGAACGTGACTACCGTGCATCTGCCGTCAGTTCACCAGTTGATGCAAGATGCTGCTGCTTGCCTCCTGTTGAAAGGAGCGAGCAGATACTGACGATACGGGATCCTGCTAAAAAAAACTCAACTGATCGTCTATTGGAGGTCTCGGGCTGCAGTCCCCTTTCTTCTTTCAGCTCAGTCGGCAAAAATTTCTACAGCGTTTGTCCCGCCACAAAATTAGGTCCGCTGAGTCTAAACTCTGGCAGCGGAATGGTTGTTAAAGGTTAAACTCTGTCCTGCACAGTCACCGGTTTTAAAAAAAGTACAAGAATAAGCGACAGACCTCGGGCCTGTTTTGTCAGCGCTGACCCAATAATACTGTACTATTAATAGGAATTTGAAGTATACATAAGGGACACTTCTAATGATAGTTCACAAAGGAAATAGTTACCATTAATGGCACTAATATTAAATTTACTAATAGCAACAGTCCTTTGATTATGGAGGCGTGTCAGGGCGCTCAATCATAAGTGAAAAAAGCTAGCCCTGAAACAAAAAAAACTAGTCAAACGTTATGCACATCAACCTAATCCTATTAAATCAAGTGGCCACTGAAAGGGTCGGAGCATGAGTCGTGAGTTTGATCAAATGCTAATGATGAGAGCTGCGGCTCGGTCTTTCAATGATGTACCAGCATTGTGTCTGAAAGTGCTTCAAAAAGCTAGTTTGGGAAATTTTTCCAGTAATTTGTTGTCCGGTTTTTACTTACGCCCTGTACCCATTTAGAATTCAGACTGATATAGATCTGCCTAGGGTATCAAGTTGATTTCATAATTATCGTTCAATGTACGCAATATTCTGATGAAATTTTTATTTATTACTATATTGAAATTCTTACCTAATAATCTTTGATCGGGATTCGGTAGAGCGGGTGTTCAACTGAGGATATGATATTCAACTAAATACATAACCCATCAGTAGACGCATTCCTCATCTGTGTTTACTTACGCCAGGCTGCAAGTTCGTGAGTCACTGGAATGTTTAAACTCATAACCCATCAG